TTTTTTTTTAACATGCTCAATGTATCATGTTTGGCATGTCAAGTGTACAGCACTTTGTGTTCAGCTCGTGGCTGATCTGAAAGCGCTATATAAATAAATTGCTTGCTTGCTTGCTTTAACTAAACCAGTGTGTTTTTAAGGCTTTTTATTATTACCAGAGCACAGTTCTCCAGTCTGAGCACATTCTATTTAATCTCCATCTAAAGATACTTCTGACACTCAACATCTCCATTATTTATCTCTTTTTCTGGACTAGAGGAAGTGGAAAGAGACGTGACGCCTCTGCAGACACGCCGTGAGTCACATATGCAGTCGCACATTACTTAATCTAAACATAACCCTCGACAAACCTTTCATGACTTGCGTTTAGAGCACTTTAGGTCAAACACACACAGAGGAGAGAGTGTGTGTATACGTTTATTAGTGTGATACAAGATGATATAAACCAAATATTCACTGTTTACACAAACATTAAAGGCTACAGTCTGTCCATAAAGCATTTGAATCCATATAATCAAACATTACTCATCATCATCATCATCATGATAACAAAGTCATAACAGCTAAATCAGGAAGAAACGAACACACAGTCCGTACATGTGACTGTGTGCTCACACACACACATACACACACACACTGACAGCCCTGTGTAAGAAGCATGACATACAAAACGCTGTAGAAAAATACTCTTAAAAAACCAAACACACAAAACAACATCAGCAGCAGCAACTTGGAATGTTCTGGATGTGAGTCCGACCTCAGCACAGAAGGTCAACGGGGCAATTCGTTGGGCAACTCTTCCACTGGGTTAACAGGGAGTCAAAATGGGGAGAAGTGCTAAAGTGTTGATCTCGCCGAGTGAAACAAATTCACAGCCTCCAATTATTCATTAGTGGACACGATGAGTGAAACATTTCCACCTTTGTTTTAAACGTACGTCTCAGGTTTAACAAACTCAGAGTTTTCACTAAACCTGCTTTCTGAAACGAAAGCCCAGATAACTGCAGGGTGTATTATGACCAGCATTCAGCCTTTTGGAGCCTCTGGTGGAGAAAAACAGGAATCACCACCTGCATGTCCACTAGCTCCACCAGATCTCCCAGAAGTCTAAGGCTCCAGTCACAAGGCCTAGAGACTGGTTGGCAACCACCGGGCAACCACTGTGTGCCAGGGAAAAATGGGAAGATGTCTTGCAGACAAATTAGAAGGAGTCACTGCAAACTGCTAACAACCAACCATCACGTGGAGATTTTTGGGTGTTCACCTTTGTTGTGACTGATTTCACCTGGCAACAGCTAGCAACCACTTGCCAACCGATTGAGGAATACACGTTTCCCCCTGTGACCAGAGGTTGCTGAGTGTCTCTAGGCCTGTGTGACTGAGGCCTCAGTATGAGTTAGGGTTTTACTCTGTTGTATTGATGCTTCTTTGCTGTCTGTGTGAGTATTTTTGTCACACATATGAGGCAAACAGAACAAACAAAAACAGTTACCATCAATATTTCAGTGAATTCAGTGTGAGGCAGTTAGCTTAAAGCATAAATGTGGTAAACATGTGTATGTAAATAGAGGCAACACCCCAGTGATCACTTGGAGTACTGCAACAAAGAAAATTCAACCTTTTTTTTCCCACAACCCTCTCCGTGTTTGAAGAGTCATCTAAAAAAACGCCGTCAAGAAACCGTCTGTTGTGAGTTTTAATGAAGTCTTAATAACTTTTTTCCTCCTAGTTCAGCTACGGTGTGAAAACTGTTACTGTTGAACAGTTGGACCTAAACGGCTTGTAAATACACAGCAAAAGCTAATGTAGCTTAGTGCTAACGCTATGAAAACACATCATTAAACGCTCTATACTGTGCTACATTTGTGCTTCGTACTCTAGCTGGCGCTAATTTGGCAGTTAATCGTTTGTGTTAGTGAGTCTGCTAGCTTTAAACTACAGTCTGACCGTCTGATACATGAGATAAAGCTCATAAGTCTTATGTTAACATTTGGATTAATACTAATGTTTCCACATTAGCAATACATTAAAGTTATACTTCACAGGCAGTTTAAATATTTGCTTTTTTGCGCTTTATCCACTTTGATGAACATTTAGGTTACTTTTAGATAAAAACTGGGTAAAACTTTACTTCAAGTCCCCTGATTTATCATTTATAATAAGCGTGTTATTAACTGTTTACTAACGATATATCTGTAAGCCAGAAACTTTAAAGGCTAATGATCTGCATTGTTCTAACTTCACCTCTGATTTTTCATTATCGTAAACAAACATGAATAAACACAGCTTAAAACTACATCGGTGTATGCTATATACAAAAATAAAGCTTGTGTTACATCTTCATGTGCCATTATACAGCACGACTGGGGTCGGGGGGGTCAGTTACAGGTTTCTGTCTGAAAGAAAATAAATGTAACTAGCAGCCGCGAGAACAAAGTTACATGTTGACCATCAAAGTTGCCCGATATAAATTGCCAGTGTGGTTTGAAGCACTTTCTGACGCTCACACAGCAGCTTACACTCACACACACACGTACAGTACGACATTGTACAAGTAACAAATTTGTTTTTGTTTTTGTTTTGTTTCTTTTTTTTTACTGCTAGGCACTATAGAGTGAAGCATTGTGGGAAAATGAGTGCTCGGCTGGTCTGTTTTAGCAGCTTCAGCGCTAAACGCCTTAATATCATTAAAATGTTCGGTTTCACAGCTACTGTCCGGGAAACAGTCCTCAATCTTCTCTGAAATAGCAGATTTAGCTTCTGCTTACAGGATGTTTAGCACAAACACAATTTTGTATCACAGCTGCAAAACTATCATTAATCTGTTAATTGCTGTTATTAAATAATTTTTAAAATAGGGATTAATGAGTTAGGTAAGTAAGTGAATCTATCCTGCTCATTTCCAGCTCCATATATGTATTCCTTGATGTTTCTAGAGTAGCTGTGCATGAGTCACACTTTATAATAATCCTTCTTTAACTTATACTGGGCCATGTCTGAAACAAGCTGTTTTAGCTCCTCCTTAAGACAATGTTCTTCAGAAATCTTGAGGAGTATTTCTGGCAAAGTAGCCGGAGAAAATGACTGTGAAATGGAGTTTTTCTGCTTTAATGCTGATTTAAAGTTTGAAAAAGTAGTTTATGGAGTAACAGACCATGTGCCATCTGATACACATGAACATCACAATGTTGAGTTTGAACTACTGCTCTAAGTCCTCTCTCACACAGGGCTGGAGGCTGGTTCGCAACCTCCAACCTGCAACTACTCGCCGACTGCATGTCAAACATCGCACTTTTACGTTTTCCTTCTGCTTGGTGAGCAGTTGCAGACAAGCTTCGATGCAACCTTTGCAATCTGTTTGGCTTGGACTGGTTGAACTGGTCAAACTAGAGGTTTTGAGCAGCATCTTTTTAACCAGTTTCACCCATCCAACTCCAGTAACCACTCACCAGCTGACCTGAGGATACACTTCTTTGAGCAGTTGTTAGGTCTGTGTGAGGATAGAGTAGTTTGTGACAGAAGCAAAAGCTGTGAAATGAAACCACTGCTGAATGTCTCATGATGGAGTTTAACCAGAGTTTAAACAGAGTTTACTGTTTACCTTACAATATATATAATATAAAGCATCTTGATGTAACTGTTGTTGTGATTTGGTTCTATATAAATAAAGTTGTACTGAAATAAATTGAATTGAAAAGTGAAAGTGTCCTGGCTGTTTTCTGTGACTTCAGTCAGCTCAGATGAAGCCCAGCAGAGGAACTGCCGTCTTTGACGCTTCGTCGTTTTTTCAGCCCCAGGAAGTTTGACGGTTGGTTCGAACTACATAATTTAAAAGTATCTTAGTATAAAGTCCAGCATGAAGCACTGAGCGTTGGTTAACCGTCACAGAGGTTATGTTTTTGTTTCTGTGATGTTTGTAGGTTTGAATGTGTCGAGTAATGAGAACAATAAGATCAGAGTTCAGTGACTGATTGTATGGATGTAACTTTCAATCGCCGACAACATCAGCTGCTGCTCACACAGCGTCTGAAGGCTATCAGTATAGGCACAGGTTAAGGAACTGAACGTGTGTTGTGGCTGATGATGACATCACTTCCTTCTGGAATGAATGAGAGCTTGGAGCAGGAAGTGAGTGAGCGTATGTGTCAGTCGGTCAGGTATGTGTGGATGTAGATCTGCTGTTGGATCCAGGGGGTGAAGTGCGTGACGTTGCTGTAAACCCCGGGTCCGAGCACTTTACTGAAGCACACGCTGCCCCACGACGTCAGGCCGAACAGCGTCCAGCGACCGCTGCTCTCCTCACACACCAGTGGGCCGCCGCTGTCACCCTGAACACACACACACGTTAAACACACACACACTGAGAAACTGTGTGGCCTCGGTACTTCATGCTGGACTGGTGCAGATGTTACCATGCAGGAGTCGACGGTTCCAGCTTCATAGCCGGCACAAAGCATTCTGGGAGTGATGGTCTTCATGTCGAAGTAGGACTGACACTGAGACAGAGAGATGATCCGGACCTCCCCTTCCTGCAGTTTAAAGGGCACTGCACAAAAAACACAGGATGAAAATGAGGCTTTAAATATAATAAGAGTGCTCAGGCTCTCGAAGTACTCTGAGCTTTCCTTTCAAAGGACGTTAAAGCTCAAAGATCAGAAGGAATGAGCGCTGTTTTCACACGGAGGACGCTCTTGGCGACTAACAAAAGCACGTCTTTTATGTCGTTTTGTTAGTTCCAAGTGTCCTTGGACATAAAAATGAACTCCGAGTTGCCCCTGATGCATCCACTGGTGTCTAAGTGTGTAAATGTAAAAGCTGCCTAGGCGTACATAAAATCACTGCATGAGTGCAGGATTAGGTGATTGAGACGTGGAGTAGAAAGCGTTTTGAGCACTTAAATTGAGTGAAAAGGCAGATTATGATTATGGAGACTGAGGTGAAAAATAGAATAAAAACGATAGACGGTGTTATTTTTGGAGCCACCTGTGTGACCCTTCTGAAACACGCTGGTGTGTATCTGGTGGAATCTCAAATATTTTCCTGAGTGGAAACAACCAGCTGCAGCAGCTGCATCGGAGCTGGAACGCGACCCGGCCACGCCTGGAGCATTCCCAGGATCGGCGTCGGTCCTGTGACACACGTGTGGGTGCAACAGTGAGACCAGACGCGCTCCGAGCTCGTCACATTTCAATCCACACAATATCTTTGGTAAGCTTCGCGAAGAGTCTTCTTGCTTAACTGCTAGCTAATCTGAAATGAATGAAACTAGTTTGAGAGTTTAATGAAACATCAGTTACAACTTTACAAGCAGGAGAAAGGTTTGTAGTTTCAAACCAAGCTGCATGATTTCAAGTTTATGTAACTTTCGTGGGGATGGAGTCTAGATTTAGAGCGCTTGAGCACAGAGCAGCATGAGAAAGTGAGTTACATCCACTCTCTCTCAGAGTGAATCTGAATAACGAGGGCAGAAACTCTCTGACTCGGCTCATTCTTTCTGCTTTCAAAAAGAGCTGCCAGCCTGATGTTTTTCAACCAGCAGATGAAGACAGAGAGCAGGACTCTGCAAAGTCTAAATGCACCGACTCTACGTGACGAGAATAAAACTCTGGTAGACGAATGATTGAAAGATTTGTGTTTCAAACAAACAAAGATGTGTGCGTGCCTACTAGTGCTGCAAGTACAAAAAGAGAGTTTAGTCTAAGATTAGGATACGGCCAAAGAGTGAAGTGTGTGTGTACTCACTCCTGTTGCCCATGTGACCCCAGCCGGTGATGTAACAGTAGGAGTCGGGTAAAGGCAGCTGGCCCGGCTGAGGAAGACACACCGGTCTGACGAAGGTCGTCTCCTCAATCTGCAAACATTAACACGCCTCATCAGTCCAGTGCGATTACAGCTGATACTCGATCCTGTGCAGCAGCACGCTCTGACCTCAGAGTCCAGCTCCACTATACTGATGTCGTAGTCCACCACCGCCCGGTTGTAGCGCGGGTGTACGATGATGGAGCGCACCCCTCGGCTCTGACTGTGACCTCCTGGGTGGTCCAGGTTGTTAATGCCCAGCACCACCTTCCACAGGTCTGCACTCTCTCTCCTGTGACACACACACACCGTTAGTGTGTGAGGTTAAAATAAAATGTGGCTCACTGACGACACACCCTGAAGCCTTACCCCTCGAAGCAGTGCGCGACTGTCAGAGCCCACTTCCGGGCGATGAGGACGCAGCCGCAGACGTGTCCGCTCTGACCGCTCTGCAGCGAGCACTGCCAGGGCCACGCCCCCCGCCGGGACACCCGGCCACCCAGAATCCGCTTCTTCCTGTGAGGGTGAAGGCCCACCGCCTGGCGTAGACCGCACTCTGACGGCAACAAAGAGACAAACTGGATTTGTTTATGATGAGCCATCACGGCCAACCAGCAACCTCACAGCCTGCAGTTCCTCCAACGTCCACTTGAGGCTCCAAAAGGGCAACAGCCCACATAGACTCCCGTGTTAAATGTCCACTTTACACCAGAAACAAACATGTTTACAGCCTAATACAGGAAACGGCTTTGGTCTCTGATGCCATGTTAATTATTAAAGTTATATTCGTAGGGGCGTGGCCTCTTTGGCTGACAGCTGGATGGCGACTTGAGTTCCTGAGCTGTGTTTGTACAGTTGGAGCCTTTTTGAAGCATTTTTAATGCAATTATCTGATAAATAATAATAATAATGATAATAACAATATTGATATATCTGGTGTGTGGTTAATTGTACTAACAGATCGTCACTTCAGGCTTTAAAAAGGCGAGGCCTCTGCTTCACGGTGTGATATATGTCTGCTTCAGTCAACCTACAGACAACCTGCAGGTTGTGACAGAGAACGCGGTATAATTGGTCAGGAGCTGACCATCTCTGTAATCTGACAGTCAACATCTGTCAGACAGCAGCTGGACGGCTGAACTCCAAAATACCAAACTACACTTAAACCTTGAGTGCAGGTCCAGCTGTTGATGCTGATCAACAGCTGGACCTCATACATAACGCTGTATAAGTGACTGTGACTGAATGTGGCTGCTTTGACAGTTTTTGAGATTAAACTTTTAAATTTGAGCTCCATCTGTTGGTAGCAGGAGGAGTGACAGTGCTGATCTACTCCTGCTCATGCAAAGTGCCTCCGTTTGACTCTTCAACTCAACTACAGTAGCTTTGCATGATTCACAGTTCAAAAATCACACTTCTTTATGTCACACTGGGCCTTTGCACAGCCCCTTAAAAACGGGCATTTTTAGCTCCATCCTTTATAAGTCAAACCCTGAATGGCTGGAACATCAGAGATAACGATATAGATGCTCTCTGTGACATCATGCAGAGCCAGAGCAGAAAAAAAACCTTAGCGCACCATTATTGACCTCATAATTATTTTATGAGCATCCACCACCAGACTGTGAGGGAAAAGTTAAACACGTCGACTTTAACATGCTTCTACAAACACACTGATTTGAGAGAAATCAGTAAGTAAGGGATAAAAGAAGAAGGTTTACCTTCTCTGGTACACAGGACTGAAACTCTCTGCCTGGA